GTGTGTGTTAGCTGGCTTCTGGATAGCAACTGGAATTTAATTTGAAATGTATTAAACCCACATCATTATTTGTTGATTTAGCAACCTTGAATCTGAATGCCACCATAAGGAGGGGAAAGATTATAAAACAAGTAACTAATGTGTTAAGCAGGAGAGTGTTTAGTGCAGTGAGTACATTACAGATTGCCAGGAGCCAGATTTTTTTAGAAGCGTAGCAGTGCTGATAGATAGGCGCCTGCTCCACGTGGGTGATTTGGCTATTTTGAGTTATGTCTCTGCATCTCTGGAGCCTAAACACCTTGGAAAATCCAGTCCCACATCTCTCATCTTCTTGATGCTGGGAATTTAAACCTGCCTGCTCTGCGCTTGGAAAGAGGAAGAGGAAATCGTGCTTTCCTCCATTTGCAGACAGCATTTGGTGCCTTGCCTTTGAATGAAGGGATCTTAGGGAGAGGGAGTTTTTAATCTCTGCATCTGTAAGAAGCCAAAGGGAGTGRGGGCAGAATCGTTTCTGCACACCAGGAATTCGGAGGAGCTTGGGGAGCAATAAATGTGAATTTTTGGCTCAGCTGTAGGGAATAGCAGTGACCCTGATGCGGTGCTGCTGAGGTCTCCGGGCTGCTGTCGCCCCACAGAGCTTCCAGCCTCACTGAGGCCAAATCACCACCCCCGGGCGGAGGCGGCGGACAGGCCCGCGGGCTGTGCACGGGCCAGGGTGTGTGCCCSGCACGCGCCCCTCCGCCAGCAGGCTCAGTGCCCCGGGGCAGGGCGGTGGTAACGGTGTTCGGATCCGCGCGCGTTGACAGCTCTGTCTGCACCGCGGACACCGGCTGCAGCACGTGGCAGTGCGACGTACTTAAAACACAAGCTGACCTCAAAGTGAGGCGCCCTGCTGCTTCTGGTGTTGTTAAACATCTCACGAGCCCTGAGTCTGGAGACAGGGCTGCCAGCTGCTCGCTCTTCCTGAGCCACCCGTGTYCCACGCGTGTGGGTGTCGCAGGTCTGGCTCCTGCCTGCCTCTTCTCCTTGTGTCTGCTCTCCTCCAACCTGCGCCTCTTGCCTTTTTTTAGGGCTGCCTAAGGATATGTTGCCCTTCAGCGCCGCCGTGGTCTCAGGGGTGTTGGGAAAGCTCCTCGCCGCCCCCGCACCACCCTGCCTGGCTCCAGACCTGACGTCCCGCTGCGTTCTCCAGGGGGATGGCGCAGGCCGGGGGGGTTGTCCGTGTCCGCCCCCAGGAGGGCTGCACGGTCTCRCCGCCGCTGTTGGCCCGTGACGCGGAGCACAGGCCCTGGCTGGCGGGCGCYGCGAGCCCTGAGGCCGGCACCTGCAGCCCGCCGCGCTGCCTCACGCCCAACCTCAACGCGGGCCGGCTGCACCTGCTGCGCAAGGGCCTGGCGCCCGAGGCGCGCCGCTGCCCGCCGGGCCTCTACAACAGCACGGGCTCCCTGGCGCCCCGCGCGCCGGCCGACACGGGGCTCCTGGGCACCGGGAGCTGYGCGGGGCGCGCCACGGCGCCCTGCACGCCGCGCCATGGCGCCCCAGGCCCTGCGCTGGCCTCGCCGGGCAGCCGCAGCCCACTGGTGGCACTCGACGGCCACAGTTCCGTCGTCACCTTCCGCTTCATCGAGAAGGCCAGYGTGAGGACGCTCAACGGCCTCCCGGCGCCCCGGCGGCACAACGGGCCCCACAGCCTGAGCCGCAGCCTGGAGCTGGGCYGGGCCGCCAGCGCAGAGGAGGGGCCCTCCATGCCCGGCAGGCTCCCGGGGGGCTGCGAGAGCACCCGGGCGCCGGGCTCGCCGCCTGTGTGCGACGGCAGGACCGGGCAYGGCGGCGGCTCACACACCCCTCCGGCACAGCCCAAGCTGCAGGAGCAGCTCGTCCGCAGGCTCAAGCTCGAGGCGTCCRTGTCCGACCCGCTGCTGGCCAGGGGCAGGGCCCTGGGGGATGCACAGCCCGGAGGGAGGGACGCCTGYGCCCTCAACACCAGCTGCCTCTTCAGCTCCCTCACCAACGGGCTGCAGACGCCCCCAGAGGAGCGGGCGCCCTTTGCCAGGAGCCCGCTGAACCCCGAGCCTCGATTCCAGGTAGGTGCTGGTTCTGCGGGCTGGGTGGCTGTGGTGTCTGCCCTGGGCACCCGCCGCTCACGGCGCTTGTGTCCCGCAGGGAAGCTCGTGGGCATATCCCCGGGAGAGCTCGGCCCACGCCCAGCGCGTTGCCAGGGCCAAGTGGGAATTCTTCTATGGTGCTCCGGACCCTCCCAGGACAGGTGAGCGGGTTGTCCTGCTGGGGTTGTCCCACCCTGGGCACGGGCATCCTCGCAGCTCAATGTGTGCAGAACAAACCCTGCGTGCCCAGGAGGAGCCGTGAGCCCAGGCCAGCGCGCGTCCCCACGGTGCAGTGCAGGCTGCGAGCACGATGCAGTCCACCCCGTCCCATYTCCGCCTCTCCCAACACGCTCATTCTCCTCCAGGCTCTCGCTCTTCCCTCCCGCGTGTCCCRTTGCATGTGTGAGCCTGTTTGCAGCGTGCATGCGGTATTGCAACAGCGGCTTCCCCAGCRCGCCGTGGCTGCTGTCCCCAAGGCCAGGGCCCCGTCCCTAAGTGCTCTGGTCTCTCTTTCAGGCTGCTCTGTCCCCAAGGCTCCCGCTGTCCCGGCCGAGCCCCCGCCGCAGCCCCCGGAGCCGCAGAGGCCGGTGGCCGAGCACAGCCTGAGCCACGTGGAGGTGGAGATAGAGATGTCTCCTCCGGGCTGCAAGAAGCCTGGCTTCTGTGAGACTGGCATTATAMGGAGGACGGTGAAGTACTCTGAGACAGACCTGGACACCGTGCCACTGAGGTGCTACCGYGAAACCAACATCGACGACATCCTGGCCGAGAAGGACGAGGTGGATTCGGCTATTGAGAGCCAGAAGGACAGCGAGAGCAACCCGAGCTTCACGGGCACRCCGGGCAGGAGGGACAGCACGCCGGAGGAGCCCCCTGCCCCGGCTGCCGCCGAGCGCCAGCGCGAGGGCRCCGCTGGCGGCACGCGGGACGGCGAGGCCGACGAGGATGACGAGGTGTTTGAGGCGACGAGGCGGAGCGGSCGAAGGTGAGGCTGCGGGCGCGAGGGCAGAGCGCTCCTCGCGCCTGCTCTCTTATCCCCTGTGTGTGGCGAAGAGGGTCCAGGCCAGTGTGAGCAGCAGGGCTGGGGCCCTGTCCTGCCTCGTGGCGCTGGGCAAGGCTGGGAAGGGCTCCCTGGGAAGGGAGGTGGTGCTGGCAATTCAGCACAGGGCACTGTGCCTCAGATCTGCTCCTGCAGGGAGACTCGCCGGCCAGGTCAGCTGCCGGCGCCGCGGCCCAAGGGTTCCCTGCCACCTTAATGCCCTCCTGCCTCCCCCATCCTGCCTGGCCTTCAGGTGACAGCATTAGGACACCTGAGTCCATGCTGTCCTTGGTGGTGCTCTGCACTGCTGGGCACTGGCCACGCTGTCCTCCACAGATGTCCGTGCCCTGGTAACAGGGCATGAACCCTCTTGCTTGGCCACACTGGTTATTTGCTTTGTTCAGGAAAGTGTTTGGGACTTCTTGACTTGRAACGAGCCTTTCCATACTGTTGTGTCCAGCATCATTTTTTGTTTGCATGGCAAAATATTCTTTAATGGGGTGCTGATGACAGCAGAGGATGCTATAGTTATCATTCAATTGCCCATGCATCTGGCCAGCTCATGTCCCTGAGGTGTTGTCTGTCCTGTACTGGGCGCTGGCAGTCAGGATGTGGGCCCAATGGCAGATGGGGCCTTCTAGCCTGGTGGCAAGGGCCAAGTGGGCTACTGGAGTGCGGCGTCGGACACCCATGTGTCTAGTGAATGAGCTCGGAGGATGGACAGGCAGAGCAGGAGACTAGAAGAAGAGCGCTCGGGGCATGACGCAGAGCCTGCGGATGGTGCTGGCCCTGCTGAGCAGGCGGCAGGTTGGCCGCGAGGAGAGGTCTCGCCCGCGCCGGGGGCTGCTGGCCACAGCAGAGCGGGCGGTAGCCACGGGCGAGCGGCAGGCGCTTGCAGCCCGGCCTGTGCGCRAGGAGGGCCAAGGAGCGGGAATGGGGATGTTTTTGATGTTGGCACTGAAAAGAGATGATAAAGGAAATAGCCCCAGGTCCTGTAGTGGTGCCCCTGCCTTGGGAAAGAAAAGCATGGAGTGCCTGTGCTGAAATGGATGTAGCAGTGTGTGCTTGACAGGGAGAGCTGGTCTGCCGCGGGCTGCTCCGGCTCTTGCCTTGCAAGCAGAGGGGACAGATGTGTCTCTCCCTGCCTGTTCCTCCAAAACATAAGATTGTGCAGAAAAGCTGAAAATAAAATTTTAATAGCAAATGTACTTTTATCCAAACAAATTTGTGACAAGTTTTGAGCAAGGTCTAAAATGATAGTATTATTGCTGCACGCAAGTTGTATTATATGGCATTGTTGTATTTCCAGGTGTATACTAAGTCACTGTGTATGAGCTGCAGTCCTAGACCTGCTGTTTGTCCCCTGCAGCCGCTGTGTAGTTCCCCAGGCAGTGCTAGAAATCTGTGCTTAAACGTAGTACTGTTCCCAAGCTCGGTGCTCTGTGTCCCATTACCAGTAGGTATATAGGGGGTATCACATTCCTTTTACATGGCTTCTTTGCCATGTGGCTTTCAGACTTTTGCATTTGTGCCCCCCCAAAACTGTTCCCAGTGAGGTGCAGGTTCTGTGGACAACACTTTGAAAATCAGTAGTCCAGAAATGTGAGCTTGATTTATATCTRTGTTACAATCAGTTTTATTTTGCTTCTGCACTATTCTGTGCTCTGCAGCTGCAGTCCTCCTTCGTCTCTGCCAGCCCCTAGTAATGATGTTTTCTACTGGAGGCTTTCTGCCTTGCCTGCTCAAAGACGTGGCGGAGCTGGAGGGGATTAGAGCAGCCCTCCAGCAGCTGCACTGCTGCTCTGAGCGCTGCTCTCAGCCAGGCCAGCCCTAATGAAGGCACGAGTGTTTTGGGATGTGATCCCAGCAGTTGCTCTGCAGAACAGGTTGTTATTAGCTGGGAAGAACCAACCCCACAATATTACTGAAGCACCCAATTCCCTTTGGATGCTAATTCACAGCATCTAGGCATGTAAATCCCCTTGAAAATCTAGCCTTAAGGGCCTTAAGGGGGGATTTTGGCTTGACGCTATCTTGTTGCCCTTGATATTTTGGGCAAAGAGCATCTTGTGTGATTTACCATCCCAAAGTAARCGAGCAAGCTAACAGCAGGCAGGATGTCTGTCTGAAAAATCCAGCGCAAAATCAAACAAGCRAAGAAAAGTGACAGAAGAAGCAGCATCTTCTTCCAGCCTGTCTGCTTGCTGAATATATTTAGAGTCGGATCTACCGCTCTAATGACTASTCTAAGCCTTTACTGTCTTTAGTCCCATTAGTCCCGGAGAGCTGAGACCTGTCAGCAGGAACGGGCTCAAATCCCTTCTCCCGGAGCAGCATTGGCTGTGGCTGCCAAGCTCCCGTTGCTGGTGCCCAGGAGGGCCAGCGTGGCCCGTGGCACCGGTGGCTTGGCAGATAGGGTGGCCGAGGGCGTTTGCACCGTGGTCCCCGGTGCCCTGGCAGGTGCAGGAGTGCAGGGAGGCAGAGCTGTCTCAACTGGCCACCAGGGCAGCCTGGACCAGGAAAACCCTTGGAAAATCAGCTACTTGCACAGAGAAAATAGCTGCAGGGTGAGCCTTGCTGGGGATTAAAAAGTGGTTAAGGCGACGATTTTAATCAAGCGCTTAAGCATAACGCTTAAGCCTGGTGCTTAACCTGTCTCAGTAGCCACAAGGCGCTCGTGCTGYGCTGAAGCAGAGCCGCGGAGCTCGGTGTGGCCGCAGAGCTGGGGCTGGGCACTGGATGCAGCCGCCCCATGCCAAACGGCCTGGGCAGCGAGGGGCCACGTGCCCGTGCCAGTATGTTGTAGTGGGGGAGCAGTGGGGCTGAATGATTGCGGCGCCCGGGGAGGTGCGGCGTGGAGCCTGCCCTGCAGCTGAGCACGGCGGCTGAGCTGGCACTGGGGCACCGCTAAGGGGCTGGCACTGGGGCACCGCTAAGGGGCTGGCACTAAGCTCAGCCGCAGGCCAGCGGGAGGAGAGGGCTGCAGGCGAAGGAGCCTGGGCGAGCGCGAGGAGCCTTCAGTGCTTGTCCGCAGATGAGCTTTGCTGAGAGGGGCGTTAGGGGAAGCAGTGTCGGGCGCTGGTGCACAGCCTTGTCCCCTGCGGGCTGAGCTGGGACCCCRGTGCAGCTCCTGCTGCCTCCGTGCCAGCAGGAGGAATGGGGCATGGCAGGGCTGTAGTCATGGGCCTGGGGTGTTGGTGATGAGAGGAGGTCCCTGAGGGCCTCGACGGAGAGAACTGGCCTCGTCTTCGCSCTCCTGCCAGGGACCACAGTGCTGGGCAGCACCAGCAGGGAGAACTGGCCAGTCCTTCCCTGCAACTGTGGCTGCTCCATTTCAGTGGCTCGGAGCCCAYGGGTGAACCTCATCACCAGGGACTGGGACATTCGTGTGTAATGCAGCATGGTTGTCACCTCCCCTGCTTACTCGCTGGCCCCTTCCCAAGAAAGGGAGGCTATGGCTCRTGCACCGGTTCCCGTGACCAGGGCTGCAAGCGTGTTTGTTACTCCACTSCCCCTTGCTGTTGTGCAGATACCTAATTACAGGCTTGGTGTCTGCTCCTCCCAGCTGTGTTCCCCTTGTTTTGCAACCACGTGCCTCTGCACGGATCCTTCCTGCAAATGGGAGTGGGACACGAGTCAACGGCAGAAACCGGAGGCAGGGAAGGCTGGGCAGCGCACGGCTGGCAGGGCAGCTGGAGCTGGGCAGCAGGAGTGTGTTCAGGCAGCGCTGTGCCCGTGTCACTGCAGCTACATCCTTCCCCATCTCAGCTGCTTTGTGTGGAGCTGGCTTGCTATTTCAGAGGGGAGAAATAGCTCCCGGAGTTCAGATGGTGGGGAAGAAACAGCTATATTTCTTTCTGTACTTTGACAACATACCTGGTCACAAGACTGCGCCCGGTTCCCTCAGCCACTCCTGGGACAAGGTCCCTTCTGTCTGCCAGTGCCGTCCTCTCTAGTACAGCCCACGGCCCTCCTGTTGGATGCAAGATKCAAAGTGAAGCTGGCAGCACTAGCTTGATGTAGTAGAAGGCTGCTAAATGGTAAGGACAGTGAGTGAACAGTTGCACCTGTGACCTTGTCTGAGTGTCAAATAGGTCTCTGTCCCCTTGCCCATGCCTGTTAGAAGCAGCCCCGAGTGTCTTACAGTGGAACAGGTAGGAGCACAGAGCAGGACTGAGCAAYGCGGGGAGACGCCGGCAGCCGGACAGGAGCAGCCTTCACCCTTCGTGCCTCCTGCCTGCCCAGGCGAGCTCCCCCGAAGCCCCTGGCCTGCGCCTGGAGTAAAATTGTCACCTCGCAGCCCAGTGAAATATCAGGGTGCGATTTGTGAGCGGCGCGCAAAGGCTAATTAATTGGAAGTCATTTGGTGCTTGTAATGGCAATACATTTTCTGAGCCCTCTGTGCAAAGCTGTTTGTTCATAACAAATGTTATGACAAGCTAGATCAGTTCTTCTCTTTTAATCAGAGACGACAGTGGCATAACAAGTGCTTTTCTGGTGCTTTAATAAGGTGATAGCAGCTTATGAGTAAAATTGGCTTTTATGATTGCAGTTGTGCTTGTACGAATGAAACATTGATGTTCTCTGTGTTGGAAATATCCTTACTGTCACATGCTCAGATTGATAGGCTGGCTGCAATTTATCTCATTTACCTGACAAATGGGTCAAGGGTTCAGGATTTAGAAACTCTTGCCTTGGGCTGCACCCAGGCCTGTCCTAGAGACAGACTGAGCCTTACTGCTGCCTTCATATGTGACAAGATAATTGCTAGGACCAAGCTGAGCCTTTAGGTTGTGGGCCAACACACAAGGGCCTCAAGCCCAGAGCTGGGTTTAATATTCCCTACAAACTGCCTGGAAAACCTGGGACCTCAGAATAGACTCGTGCTAAGACTTGGGGGGACAGGAGACCAACCAGCAGAAAGTGCTGCTGCCACCCAAGTACCTCTGCTSCCTTCCTAGTGTAGCTGAGCCAAGGGGCAGCAAAAGAGGATGCGGTTGGGATGCYTCCATGAGGAGGAAAGCCATGGGTTTAGTTGCCTGCTCTCGGGATAGGGTATTTTACTGTCTTTCTAGTATCATCTGTCATGTTTTTTCACATGGTGCTTTGGCTTTGTCAGGGAAGGTATAGCCTAATGCTTAGGGCAGTCCCTTGGGAGCTAAGCCTGGCTGATCTCAGCCTAATTCTTTTGCAGGTGCTCTAACCACTCAGCCATCCTACTCCTGCTCTAAAACTATTTTATTTATTTTTTTTATGTATTTATTTATTTAGTGCAGAGCTTGCAGGTGGATGTTAGGCACCCTCTGGGCACTTTGCTGTAAGACCATGGTGACACATCTRTGGAGGAAGGGGCCGTGTGCTTGTGAGCAGCTTCAGGAAGAGCATTCCAGGTGCCAGGTTACGCTGAAGGCACACGGAAAATTCAGGCACTTCCAGATTTGGTTCAAATGGAGCTGAAGTACCATGTCCTGCTTGTGGCTCTTGAGCCATTTATTGGATCTAGCCTCCAGTCAAGTGACTGGAAGCAGTAGGCATCTCATAAGCCTCTTAATAGGATGAGCTACTAAAGGAACAAAGGTCTGTGGTGCATTAAAGGAGAAGCATATGTCTGTAGGGAGTCTAGTGCAGTCCTTGTCCCYGTGATGTCTTGGAAGGCGAGGCTTTGCCTTGGAGGTCTGGCATCTCACAGATGTTTAAAGGAGAGTTCTGTCCTTCCCAGTTTCCTTCTGCAGTAGCACAGGGCTTTTGGATTTGGACTTTGATCCCTTGCTCCTCAGTGACCAGTTCTTCTCACTTTCTTTCCCTCTAGGGTCATGGATCAAGACACACAGGGTATGCTCAAGTCTCCAGTGCCCTTTCTCCTTGGGCACAGCCTCTCCAAGGATGGCATGGACTCTTTCAGCAAGCATTTTGAGAGCATCATGGAGTCCCATCGAGCCAAAGGCACATCTTACACCAGCCTGGACTCCATCGACATCCTTTCCTCTCCAGCCCGCACTCATGGGACTGTTTTTACCTTTGACCTCCCAACCCTCACCCCTGAAGTACAGGGACAGATCCGAGACAGCGCCAAGCTGATCGAGGAGAACTTTGCTCCTCTGGCTCACTTGGAGCCAGACTCTGGGACCAGTTCGGCCTCAGATGCTCCATGGACTGAGAGGGAGGAGGAGCGAGGGAGGCGAGGGAAGGGTGTTCGGCACAGCCCCTGCCGCTCCGAGGACAGCTTTGGCACTCCTTTGGCCTCCAACACGAGGTGAGTGGTCCAAGTCATCTAATACTCACCTGGGCCTCCAAGGATGGGTTTAAGTATAATCCTGACCAGAGCTTGATCTATGTCACTAGGGAAGAGAGGAAGGGTCAGGGCTGTGTGTGCGCTCTATCTTCAAGTAGTAAAGACAATTCTGGATAAAACAGGGGCTATTCCTGATGGGTTAGAACAAGTCTGGCTCTGTTAAGTTACTGATCAGGACAGTAATCGCTGACACAGTGGTCAGCATGTAGGTGAGAGCAATTCAGTCCTTTCTTCTTGGCTTTGGTGGTGCCATCCAGCCTAGCAAGCAGAGAGTCTCAAGACTTCAGTCTGTGGTRGCTCCCACTGCAGTGGGAGCCGGTCCAACAGCTGTGGTGTCTGCAGGGAGAGGCCTGTCAGAAGTTGGTATTGGTAGATATTAAAGAGCCTTTTCATCCTGGAGGCCAAGGTCCCCTGCTACTGCCGTGTCTCTCCCCRTGTGAGCAGCACCTTGCTATTTCTTGAAGGCAAGAGTCCCACAGCCATATTGCTGTGGCCTGACTTGACCTCCTGAACCTCCCCAGCTTTGCCAATGCTGGGAGACCAAGAGCAGAGAAGAGTTTGGCCCACTAGTGACTCGCTATGCATGACACCTATCCTGCTGCACCCRGGCTCAGAACAGGCACCTCTCTTGGAGAGATCTCTGGTGGAGCAGGCTGGGGCTCAGCCCCACCACTTCCATTTAAGACCATGTTCACGCAGAGATGATGCCTTGCTTGGACTCTCCTCCATTCTCAGAAAGGTCTTAGCTGGTTTGCAGGCTTCCTCTTTGCCTCTTTTCCAGAATACATTCAAGTTGGGTGCAGACAGGTCCTCTTTGGGGGTCATGCCCTATCTCATGACTCGGCTGCAGAGCCAGTGGCTCTCAGATAACCTGTTATCTGTGGCACACCAGCTTCACCTCTCCTGTTTCCTCCTTGCAAGATCTCCCCTCTGCACCAGCAACCTGTTGTGCTGTGTAAGAGTCTTCCAAATCACTTGTCTTGCAGGCTTTCCCCATCAATGCCCAGTGCTGGAAATGGATGTGCTGGAAGGAACATCCCTCAGCTGTCAAAGCCAAATACAGTTTTGCTACTGGCAGCCGCCCATGCTGTCCTCATGGGCTCAGCTTGGGGTGGCCAGGTGRGCACTGGGCTCTGTCACCTCTGGCTGTCTGCAGTTCCAGGTACCTGTGACACCTCACGGTTGTCTTGGAGAGAGGCTCTGATTTAGGCCCTCCCTTTGCTTAGGGCAGGCCTGATACTGAAGCCCAGGCAAGGTGGCACAGAGGCCAGGCAAGATCTCTGCTGCAAAGCTGGTTATGTCGGAGAGGCACAAAGCAGCCAAGGGTGGCAGTATCCAGCTCTGATCACTGCTTTCTGGAGGAAGAAGCGGCTTGCTATTCATCTGCCWAGGACCAAAATAGAGCACCCCAGAGAAAACAAAGGGACAGCGTCTCACTTATTCACCACTTTTTCACAGTAAAAGAGGCACCTTTTACTGCGTCAGTGCCTCTGCAGGGGTCACAGGAGGAGATGGCAGGAAAGGACACAGCCAACAGCGGGCATGGCAGTGAAGAGGCTCAGAAGAGACGTTTCCTCAGCGGCTGCTGCTCTCCGTAGCAGGGAGCAGCAGCAGTGCCCAGGGCACTGCAGCTCTGTGCCCTTCCAGCACAGCTTTTGGAGCAGCGTTGGGCTGTGACAGAGGCCAGGGAGAGGTGTCCCCTGAGCAAGAGCCTAGATGTGTTCTGGCCTTGCTGCCATCCTTCCTAGCCTGGGGAAGATGTAATCGAAATATGAAGAARCCTTCCTGCAGTGTGGATTTTTGACGGCCCTGTCTTCACTGGCCCTCTTACCTTCTCTTGTCTTCTCCCAGCCCTGTCTAGCACCACATGCCCCCTGCTCTGTGGAGTCAAGGAGCCCGGGGAAACTCAGCTGTAGCCCTTACTGCACAGCCTGGCCCAGACCCTGTGGCTTGGACTTTCCTTCCATGGTGCTATACAAGCTAATCTGGCCTTCTTAAACATGCGCACACGCACACTACCTCCATCCCTCATCCTGAAATTATTCCTCTGGGTAATTTTTTTTTAATAGCTCAGCATAAAATGCCTCCTTAGGTCTTTCCACAGGTTTCCTCTTGGCCCAGTTTCTCTCCCACAGCCCCGTGGGCTGTAGCTGATCGGCAGACCTGCCAGCTGCCTTAGAGGAGGCGAGCGAGCGGCCTGAGGCAGCTGCTGCAGGACAGAGCGTGTGAAGCCCGGCCTAGCAGCAGTCGGGGCTCGGGACCCAGCAGGCAGCAGCACAGCAACCTGCTCCCTGCGCTCCAGACAAGGCTTCTCTCCCTGCCCTCGTGGGAGATCAGACACGGAGGTTGTGATCTTACCCTGTCCACAGGGCGTGAAGGTTTTAACAGGTAGTGTGAAGTACATTGGGAACCAGTGTGAGATGTAGGGCACTGGGTGCTGAAAGTAATTTGAGGAAGATGCGTCCGGCCTGGAGCTTCAAAGGGTTGCCCAAGAGTGGGAGCCCAGCAGAGTTGCTCCCAGTTCAAGTGAGTAGCTGTGTGATGCTCCTATTAATGAGCCTTAATAGAAGGAACTGGGGAAAGACCAGGAGCCTCCCAAGACTCTGCACTAATGGTCACCTGTGCCGGTGTGCCCAGAGCAGGGGGTTCCCAGGCAGCGCCGTGAGCACACATGGATAAACTCCATCCGCCGCCCCAAGCAACAGCGCAAGGTGCAGCTTGCTGACCAGCACCTCGTGTCAGATATTGGCTGCCACCCTCTTCTCCCTGCCCCTCTCAGCCCCAGGAGGCTGGCGCAGGGTCCCTGTGCTGTGCTCAGGCTTTGGGAGGGGGCTGCGAGGTGCCCCGGCCAGGCCTGGAGGAGCCCTGCAGCAGGAGCTGCACCTCCCAGCAGGCAGGGCAGAGCTGAGCCCTTGGGTAGCTGCACTGTGCGCTTGGCCAACCCCAGCAGCCTGGACCTCCGTGAGGAGTCAGCTGCCTGTCCTGCTTGTGCTTCTGAAGCATCCGGCATTGCTGTTTGCTCGGGTTGCTGACGGAGTCCAGGTTGGATGTAACTGCTCTGCAGCCCACAACACCCCATTTCTGTTGGTAGAAATGACAAAATCAGATATCTCTCTCATTGCTGGTGCATGGATTTGGTAGTGGTTTGGAACTGTGATGTCCTYGTTGTCTGGACCATGATGTGATAAGCTTGGTTTGCACACCCTCAAGGCTCAGAGCAAGGCTATGGYGTTCCCTCCTTTTATCTTGACCTTGTTTGTAAGAAATTTGCCTCAGTGAGAGCAYGGCAACCCCTGCCCTGGCATTGGTCTGCATCTGGTGTCCTCGGTTAAACAAGAGGTAATGCTGGCTTAACAGCAAGGCATTGAGCTGCCAGCTAGGAGCAGGGTGAGGAGGCTACATCAGGCCCTTCATCCCTGAGCTCGAGGAGAGCCTGGCTCCAAGTCCTGCCTTTCCTGGGGGAAAGGCTGTCCCACACTCCTCACGCTAGGAATCGCTTTTCCCTTTCCAGATTAGATAGCACCTGGCAATGGGAAAGGCTCTGCTGGGAGGCCCCTGAGAGCCACCCCATGGTAGGAAACCCCCTAGAGGGGATACCCCATACTGGTCCCCATGCCTGCCCTGTACTGGGCCACTGAGCAGTGGGACCTCCAGAGTGGGACAGCAGCTCCAGGAGTGTCTGTCCCTTACTTTGGGGACATGCCATGGGTTGCTGCCCCGTTGGGGTGCTGCTGTGCAGGGGTGGGGGCTGCTGCTGAAGCAGCCTGTCCCCAGAGCAGTGACAGCGATGCTGGAGCCAGCGGGAGGCAGGGTGCTGCAGGGTAGCGCACAGGGTGCTGCGGGGAGGTGCACAGGGTGCGTGGGGTGGTGCACAGRGGGTCTCTCAGCCCTGGCAGGGTGTGCAGGGGCACGTGCGGGGCTGGTGAGAGGGAGAGGTGCGAGGGGCAGTGGTGGCGGCTGCAGGACCATCCTGCTGCTGGCAGCCAGAGCACTGCAATGAGCGCTGCAAATCCCAGGGCTCTGCAGCACCGCTGCCGTGAGCGGCGCCGCCAGCTCAGCCGGGCTGCCGCAGTGCCCGGCACGGGCCGGAGCTGCGCCCTCCCTGCCCACGGCACCGCTCGGGACGTCCACCCCCGTGAGTCCTAAATGGCAAATCAGGGTGTGAGCCCCCTAAAATCCAGCTGCTCCGCCTCTCCTGCCTGCCCAGCTCCCCTCTTGCTGCTCCCACAGCCCGCCCGGTCCCCACCATCCTTGTGACCACCCCGRGGTGGCGAGAGGGGACATTAATTGCCCCACATGGCATCTCAGCGGGAGGTGAGCTAGGCAGGCTCTGCAGGGACCCGCAGAACTGGGGGCATTGCCTGAGGTGGGGCAGAAAGAAGGGCACCTGAGACAAAGCAGGGTCAAACCGTGAAAGGGCTCCGATACCAAGGGGAAGGGCAGCAGGTCCCGCGTCTCGCTAGAGGGAGAAGTTGGCCCTGCAGCTAGTGCTGTGTGGGAAGAGCAGGGAGCTCCCAGGGCTGGCAGCCGCCCCAGGTGGAGGCAGTCCTGGGAGTGAAGCCTTTTCCATGCCAGATCGCAGCTGTGGGCGCGCGTGCCGGAGCGCCGGGGCCGTGCCAACGTGCTGTGCTGCCTTTCTTTATAAGGTCCCTTCTGTAACGGCAGCAGAYGGGGAGCTGCTGTCTCCCCTTGCAGGCGCCCGAGCAGGTCCCTCGGATGACCTGAKCTCCGAGGTGCTCAGCGAGCACCGTGCCCAGCCAGGCACCCCAGCGGYGGGAGGCTGTGGGGCAGCAGGCAGGGAGGGGTGCAGGGTGGCGGAGGGCTGCAAGGGGGACGCAGGGTGACAAGGAGAGGATGGAACCATGGAAAGGAGGGGTGGCGCGGGGTGCAGGCAGGTGGCCATGTGCAGCTCCGGTCTGCCGGGCCATTCCCAGGTGCAGCAGCGAAGGGCAGCAGGAGCC